TATTTTTAATCGAGGTGAGCCATTTAAGGAACAGCTTGGACTCGGATATTGAAGTCATGAGTATTTTCCTTTCCTTTGTCTATGAGGAACTAAATGTAGGCCACTCACGTGTTAACCGCCTTGAAGGAACAGTTCCCAGAGCAGAGGCCCCCAAAGGGGAAGGAGTTAGCAGTGACCTTCCAGAAGGCAGTGTGTGTGCAGTGAGTTGGTGAATTCAGGTAAAGAGCAAGGCCTGCCTTTGGCAGGTCCATGAGAGCCAATGAGAATAGCATTAAGGCCAGTAGTGCTCCTGGCTCAGAAGTCATTGACATCTGGAATACAAAGCAGCAGGGCCCTTTTCATCATAAATGCACACACAGGTTTTGGGGGCGGCAGGCCACAGACTATGGAACATTCTTTTTTTTTTTTTGTACCAGGGGATTGAATTCAGGGGCACTCAAGCACTGAGCCACCTCCCCACCCCTATCTTGTATTTTATTTAAGACAGGGTCTCACTGAGTTGCTTAGTGCCTTGTTATTGCCGAGGCTGGCTTTGAACTCGTGATTCTTCCATCTCAGCCTCCCAGATTACAGATGTGTGACACCATGCCCGGCCTTGGAACATTCTTACAGTGAATGAAATCTCAGGGTTTCATTATCCAGTTGTGGAACCTCTAATTCTATAATTCCTCTGATCCTTTCATAGGAGATATGCATCCTTCACCCATTTGAAAAAAGATGGAAATTATAAGTGTTCTTTGTACTATTCTTTCAACTTTTCTGTTTGTCTGAATCTTCATAATGAAAAGTTGGAATGAAAAAAAAAACTTTTTTTTTTTTCTTTGTGGTACTGGGGATTGAACCCAGGGTCTTGCATGTGCTAGACAAGTCCTGGACCATTGAGCTATACACCCTCAGCCCAATCTTTCTGCAAATTCTTCTAAAGTAACAGTAAGGAGAGGTCATGCAAAAAGGTATAAAGCAAGCTGGGCTTGGTGGCACATGCTTGTAATTCCATTGTCTCTGGAGGCAAGTCCCACATCAAAACTTACTAGAGCCCTGGGAACAGAAGGGCTTCTGAAACTCCAAAAGCTTGGGAATAGAAAGAACACAGCGTGAAGACAGTAGAACAACCAGTGAGTTTCAAATGTTGAGCTAAAATGATTTTCAACCTAGAATTCCATACTCATAAAATGATCGGCCAGGGTCATGGCACACTCCTGTAATTCCAGCAATTTGGGAGGCTGAGGCTGAGGTAGGCAAGTTCAAGACCAGACTCAGCTTTAGCAAGACCCTGTCTTAAAATAAAAATATAAGAGCTGAGGATGTAGCTCAGTGGTAAAGTGCCCCTGTGTTCAATTCCCTGGTCCTGCAAAAAAAAAAAAAAAAAGGAAAAAGAAAGAAAGCAGGGGCATATAGGAAGGAGGGAGAGAAAGGGCACTTCCAGGATGAAGGAGAAAGGAGAAGGTTGTTTTTTTGTAGGAGCTGTGTCCCTTCCCAGAGAGCAGCCTGTCTAGCCTCATAGGCTGCACATTGAGCTTGCATGGTCTGCCTGCCTTCCAGACCTGAATACTAGAGTTTGAATTTGTATCTGTCCTGTCATGAGGCCCCTACACGCAGACACAATGTGTCATGTCTCTAGCACCATGGCTGGGGCCTTCTGGCCACATGTAGTATTGGGCCCTCACCCTGTCCTCAGAGTCTGGCCCTGCCTGCTATGCAGCCCTTTGCCCTGCTTGATTAGGAAAAACAAGGTCTTTCTGTGGGATTTCAGGCTTCATTGACCTTGAATGTTAACTGAAGTTAATGTTTTACTAAGTTGGAAGAAGGGAAAGGTCCAGTATAGTGGATGACAGCAGAGTATTTCTAGAAGTTCAAGAGGATTTGGAACCATACTATTGGGAGAAGCAGGTCAGCCCCTGAGATGGGCTTGAGTGCCACAGGCCCAACCCTCATGCAGTGCAGGAGTGTAAGAGTTTCCTAAGACCACAGTCTCCCAACACACTGAGATCTTTTGTTTTTAATTTTGAGACAGGGTCTCACTAAGTTGTCTAGGCTGGCCTTGAACTTGCAATCCTGGCTCAGCTTCCTGAGCTGCTGGGATTATAGGAGTGCACCACCAAACCCTGCCCAGCACACTGAGATCTTATCTGCAGGTAGGTCATTGGGATTTCATAGCTTTTGTTTCCTCCTCTGCCTTTAGGTATTGAAGTTGATATTGATGTGGAGCATGGAGGGAAACGAAGCCGCCTGACACCTGTCTCCCCAGAAAGTTCCAGCATGGAAGACAAGTGTAGTTCTCAGCCAAGCAGCTGCTCTTCTGAACCCAACAAACCAGATGGGAATGGCGAGGGTATGGCACAATCGCTGGCAGAGCAAATGAAAAAGATAGCCCTGGAGTCGATGGGGCAGCCTGAGGTAGGCCTGCTCCCTTCCTTCCAACTGAAACTGACTGACCTAGTGCCTTCTGCCTCTGTCCTTCAGCCTCATCCACAGCACTTATGCAGCCTGAGGGGCCCCATCACTGTTCCAGGGTCATGTCTGTGGCATTAATTTACTCTGTGAATCTTCTGCTAGAACTTTGTAAAGAAAAAATACTTGTTCTTTGCGAGCAGGTCACTGTTGCCTGTAATTCCTTGCCAGCCTGACAGGCAGATAACCAGCCCCACCTCCATCCACATGGTCTCTTCTAGGAATTTGTGGTGTGGTCAGGTTGCCTGTCATATGTCTTTTGTATGCTCATGGTGAGGTATATTCCAGGAACAGATGGAGTCTGATAACTGTTCGGGAGGGGATGAGGACTGGACTCATTTGTCTTCAAAAGAAGTGGACCCATCTACAGGTGAACTGCAGTCTCTACAGATGCCAGAATCAGAAGGGCCAAGCTCTCTGGACCCTTCCCAGGAAGGACCCACAGGGCTGAAGGAAGCTGCTTTGTACCCACATCTTCCACCAGGTAAGTGATTTCAGGTGTTTTTTTTTTTTTTAATATTTTTTAGTAGTAGATGGACACAATATCTTTTATTTTATTTTTATGTGGTACTGAGGATTGAAGCCAGTGTCTCACACATATTAGGCGAGCAAATCTACTACTGAGCCACAACCCCAACCCCTGATTTCAGGTTTGTTTGAGAGCGTCCTGTCATCTGATTTCAGCCACACAATCAAAAGAATGGCATGGCTTCTACTCTGGGCTTGTTTATTGACATGAAAGAAAAGTAGGAGTTGGTTTTGTCCTCTCATGTCCATCCTGAGTGAGATAATAAACTAAGCTAATTTTAGTAATTTTTTTTTATTGATTAATTTTAGTAATTTTTTTTTATTGATTAATTTTAGTAATTTCTAAAACTTAACTCCAGACCAAGAGTTAAGACAGATGTGATATGTGTACCATGACACATGCTGATAATCCCAACTTTTTGGGAGGCTGAGGTAGGAGGATTACAAGTTCAAGGCTAGCCTCAGCAACCTAATGACACTCAGTCTTTTTTATTTTTTAGTTGTGGATGGACACATACTTTAATTTTATTTATTCATTTTTATGTGGTGCTGAGGATTGAACCCAGTGCTTGACACATGCTAGGCAATCACTCTACCACTGAGCTACAACCCCAGCCCATGACAACCAATCTTAAAATAGAAACACAAAAAGTGCTGGGGTCAAATGTGATAACAGAAGCCTGCACTGGGTTTGTCATTGGACTTGGACCATCCGCACTGTTATCTCATGGGGTCACTGCTAAGATCCCTATGGGGATAAGGTGGAGGCCAACATGGGAAGTACACAGCATAGAAAGCAGGGCATGGTGGAGAATGTAGCATTGTAGAGCGAACACCCTGAATTAGAGAAGCAGTTGATATACCCAGCTATGACTCCTACTTGTCATACTGATGTTGAGTAAATTATCTCTAGGCCATATTCAACTCTTGAGCTCTAATATGTATCTTCTCTGCCTAAGAATACAGGGGTAGCAAACTGACCTATATATGAATTATTTTTGCATTTTTAAATGGTTGGGAGAAAGTTAAAGATATTTGACTTTGAGATTAAAATTTCAGCGTTGGGGCTCCGGAGGTGGCTCAGTGGTAAAGTGCTTGCCTACCACGTGTGAGGCACTGGGTTTGATCCTCAACACCACATAAAAAAATCATTGTAAATAAAGGGTGTGTGTGTGCACGTGTGCGCATGTGTTTTAAGATAGGGTATCAGTGTGTTGCCTATGTTGGCTCTGAGCTCCTGGACTCAAGTGATCCTCCTGCTCTAGCCTCCCTAATGGCTGTGACTGTAGGTGTGCGCCACCATGCCTGGCAGTGGTTTTATTGGAACACAAGCATATTCTTTTGTTTACATATCTGTTTATAGTGGCGAGAGGTGGCAAGACTGCAAAGCAAGCATAAGTCAGGCACGGTGGTGTGTACCTGTAATCCCAGTGAAGGCTGAGGCAGGAAGATTGCAAGTTTGAAGCCTCAGCAATTTAGTGAGGCCCTAAGCAACTTAGACCCTGTCTCAAAAAGGGCTGGGGATATAGCCCAGTGGTTAAAAAAAAAATATCTAGGAGTTCAATCACCAGTGCGCCCCTCCCCCCCACCTTTTTAAGGCAAGCCTAAAATGTTTATTATCTAAACATTTTATTCTTCCTTTATAAAGGAAAAGCTTGCTGAACCTGACTCTGAGGGTTCCTGAGAGTAAAGGATCCCATGGAAAGGTTGGCCCTCAGAAGATACTAGGTGCTTGCTGGTGAAGGTCAGAATGCTGCTGTGTCTGGGGTCAGGTGGGGCTCAGTGATGTTCTCTTATGGTTTCTGGATTGTGTTTGGCAGAGGCTGACCCCCGGCTGATTGAGTCGCTTTCTCAGATGCTGTCCATGGGGTTCTCGGATGAAGGCGGCTGGCTCACCAGGCTTCTACAGACCAAAAATTACGACATTGGGGCTGCTCTGGATACTATCCAGTATTCGAAACACCCACCGCCATTGTGACAACATTTGTGTATCTATCCCATACTCCTTTTTTGTCTCATAGTTGCATTGAGTTAGCATAGAACAGCAGGGCCTCTGTAAGGGCCAATTTATCAGCATTCTTCTTCCAGAATCCATGGGTGGGGATGCATGAAGTCATTCAGGGCAGTGGGACAAGTGACATGAAGGGAGAGTTCCAAGTGTGTGAGAAACAGAAGCAGCTTGCCCTCTCCAAGGCCTTGCCCTGGCTGGGGAGGGCAAGGACATGCCTGCATACTCCTTCTCTTCCTGCCAGCATCACACCAGCAGTTCGGAATATGTCTTGCCTAATGGCTTTCTGCTTTTTCTTTTTAAAAAATGATTAATAATACACTGACATTTATTTTTCAACAAATGAGAAAGTTGTCAGGGAGCAAATGGAGGAGGCTTCTATAGGAGTACCAGGGATGGCGGGTAGCTGGGTTGTGGGTTTCCTGCTTGGTACTAGATGGGCTCAGAAGGGAGGTCTGAGCTGTGTTTTTTTATTGATTATGCCTCCTTGTGTCATGACTGCTCTAATTTTTTCATTTCCAAATGTGTCATCTGCTTTTAAAGTAAGAAAATTCCTTTGTAGCCATCCTGTTATCTGATTTGTAAACAACCTATAATTAAACGGTACAAGCACTTTAATTGACAATGATGTCCTTCCTATTGGTTGCCGATGAGAGAAATACCTGTTTTACAGTAATGTTTATTGTCTACTCTTGGTTGTTCTCAGATTACACTCCTTTAAAAGCACCTCAGGAATTCTGTTTCTGTGGCATAGTAGAGGAAATGGGCACATGTAACACATGACTCTAAATACTACAGTTATGATCATCTCAATTTACAGATCATCATCAAAGTCTTCCCCTGTTGTAAAGAGACTACATAGTTGCACAGGTTGGGCCCTCTCTACCTCCTGGACCAGAGGAGTCCCTGTGCTCCATGACTGCTGAGGGGAATTCCTGCAAGGCCTAGGTCTGGACATGGGAGTGTATGTGGCCTGAGGAAACTGGATGGTGGTGGTGGGCCTGCTGAGGTTGCCTTCCCTTGGAGTCTCAGTCCTAGGGGTACCTGGTTCAGCCTGTGTTGGGCTGGCTGACCCAGAGCCACTGTGCAATGGTCTTGGCACTTCTGTGTCCACAAGTGAGCTGTTCCCAGGTGAAAGGAGAAACCGTGCCCATTTAGAAGATGGGGCCTGAACCTGTGGCGCAGGACTGGGTAGTTTCCACCGAGGAAAACTAAGCTCCCTGGTGTTGCAGTGCACAGAGTTCTGGAGGGAGTGGTTGCTGTCTCGCTCCCCGGTCCTGGTCAGGCCAGTATATCCCTGGGTGAGAAATCAGAAATGGCTTCCATCAGGCTCCACACTGCTACTGCCTCACTTCTGCCTGGGTGCTGACCCTTGTGCTTTAAGCTCTCCTACTTACTACTCTGGAGGGCTGGAACATGCCTTGATTTTGACATTTAGCAAAGCAAAGTAAATAAACACCCTCCACCTCACCCCAATCTTCTGCTAAATCACAGGACCAGGTTTCCCAGAAAGACATCTTCATGTCATTAGGTGACCCATCCATTGGAGACTTTCAGATCAAGTCAGGGGTTCCTGAAAGGAGATGTGAGCGGGAAGGACTTAGAGACTGTCTAGAGAGGACAGAGACGCCAGCCTGCTTACTCCTGGCCAGATGGAAATATCCAGAGACATGAAAACAACTATGTTAAGTAGTTCACTGAGAGGTATGAAAGAGGTGCTTGGCCTGGCTTCTCCCACTTCAGGAACCAAAGATGCATTGAAAGTTAGTTTCAATACCTACAAAAGGACTTTTTTGGGGGCGGAAGATACCAAATAATTGAACTCAGGGGTACTCAACCACTGAGCCACATCCCAGCCCTATTTTGTATTTTATTTAGAGACAGGGTCTCACTGAGTTGCTTAGTGCCTCTCTTTTGCTGAGGCTGGCTTTGAATGCATGATCTCCTGAGCTGCTGAGATTACAGGTGTGCACCACTGTGCCCAGCTCCTGCAAAGGGATTTGAAAGTAGAGGTGGTGGGTGTCTATAATGTCACTTCCCAGACAAGGGAAGAAACTGGTCTTGATGCTTAATCATGGCTTTGCTGCTGAACTTGCTGTGACCTCAACTGAACCTTTGCAAGCTTTAGTTCCTTGCTTTTAAAATGACAACAGGCTATGGTGAGATTAAAATTTACAGCCCAGGGACTGGCACTAGATTAGATAACTTACTACTGTTATTCTGTAATCTAGAATATTCAGGGCCACAAACCTACCTGGGGTAACTAATTCATGCAACAACAAAGTTTGGACTTTGTTTCTTGACTATGAGCCATGTTTTGCATAGTCTGAAGCCAGGCATAGCAGATCTTAACTGATGTCATCAGAGCAATAAGCAGTGACTGAGGAGAGTTCCTCTGCCTAATTCCTTGGGCTCCCACCACAGTGCTACACTCTGAAGTGCTGAATGTGCAGAGGGGCCTGCTAGGTCCTAAGCATTAGGAAAACATCCTCAGTGAGAAGAGTGCCTGGGAGGAGGGAGTGTACAGCTGGGGCAGGGCAAATGCACAGGAGATCCAGGGCAGGTGAACAGAGATCTCCCCTTTGCAGGATGAAGATGTATGAACATGGGAGGGATATAGGATATGGACCAGAGAAAGGTGTTGGCTTTAAATGGAAAAGAAAAATCCCCAGGTTGGGCTGGGTACAGTGGCTCAGACATATACAGCAGCCACTTGGGAAGCTGAGGTATGAGGATCACTTGAGCCCATGATTTTGAGAAAAACCAAGTCAATACAGCAAGATCCTATTTCAAAAAAACCCCAAATCTTGCTGGGCATATTGCCACATGCCTGCCTGTAATCTCAGTGACGTGGGAGGCTGCAGGAGGATTTCAAGTCCAATGCCAGCGTTGGCAACTTAAAAAGGACTAGGGGCGTAGTTTAGTGGGAAAACGTTTCTGGGTTCAATCCCCATTACCAAAAAACTAAAACGAAAAAACAACCCCCACCCTTACAAATCAAGTTATAAAACAAGAAAAATTCCACGGGTAGATTTGCTGAGTGGTAGAGATGCTTAGCATGCCCAAGGCCCTGAGTTCAATCTCTGTGTGTGCGTGTGCACGCGCACATGCTCGCTCTCTCTCTCTCCTATGTAAGCTCAGTGATGATGGGATCAGAAGAGAAATATTATTCTTCATCACTGACCTCCTGGGATTCCAAGGTGACTTCAGCATCATCTGAATCCTGGACAACAAGGCTCTGAGGAGGGTGGTCTGTGCTCTGGCTCCATTTCCTGGCAGAGAAAGTGCTATCATGTGCTGTCAACAACCAGTTTTCCCAGAGCCAAACTCCATGGTCATCTGGCCTGACCCAGGCTAGGGAGGAACCTCATATCCCTTACAGCTTCCCAGGTGGCTGCCCAGCAACAGTCCAGGCAGTCCATTTTTCTGCCCTATATCTTCTTGTTAGAATGATCTTATTTGAAACTAGAATCTACCTCCTGAAAGCACCTACCCTGAGAAGCCATCCTCAGTGCTTAGCCTAAAGCGACTTCTAGAACACTCACTGAAACAGGAAATTTAGAGGAAGAGAAACCCTGAAAGTCTGAGGTCTTTGCTTCCAAGCTCCCAGGCACATTGGTCATTCTGGCCACAGTTCACTTTGTCAACCTTGCCCTTAATGATTCTCTCCAATTTCTGTATAATCTGAGACACTCAGCATACAGGTTGCCCATGCCAGTGTCCTCCCAGTCCTCATCTCCCTATGGGAGCACCCAGGGACAAAGGGGGCTGGCAGTGATGGCTATCCCCCAGCTTTCCTGCCCACTGGCATATGACACTTGGGCTGCTCCCACTTTGGCCAACAACTAGAAGCAGCTCATCATTCCTTCTGGATTACAGACCCACTTGGCACCTTTTTCTGGGCAGGGCTTGATTGAAGGGAGGGCCTAGATGCTCTGGGTTGGATGAGGGCTGTGTGTGGAAACATACTCCTTCTGGCTCCTGCTCTGGGCTGCCCTTGTCTAGATACTTCAGCCAGCGGTTCTCCAAGGGCTGGGATTTTTCCTGCAGGTTGGGAAAGAGATTAAACTCTAGAGTTGGAAAGTGGCCACTTTGATAAAAAATCATCAGCTTTGACACTTAGGTATGAGGTCTTAAGACCCATGTTTCCCTCATTACCAGGAAAGGCACATGGCTGAAAGCTGATGGGGATACAGCTGCCCGAAGACAACAGTAGACAGTGTACATTGGTCCAGGCCTTGTGCAGGGCACAACTTGTCAAGAACCTTCCAAAGATCTATGTTCCTTGACTCAGGATCTCCAAACAACCAAGGCACAAAGATGTTTGTCACAGGGGTGAGGTATAGGTCAGTGGTAGGGCCCTTGCCTAGCATGGCTAAGGCCCTGTGTTCCATCCCCAGAAATGCAAGGGGAAAAATCATACTCATGACAGGGTTACAAATAATAGCAATTATTTATTTATAATAGTTGGAGTTGGACATGGTGGCACAAGCCTGTAATACCAATTGCTTGGGAAGTTGAGGAAGGAGGATCACAATTCAGGGGCAGACTGAGCAACTTAATGAAACCCTATCTCCAAATTGAAAATAAAAAGGACTGGGAATGTAACTCAGTGGTAGTGTATTCTGGGTTCAATCCCCACTACTACTACTACTACTACTACTACTACTACTACTACTCTACTAATGGCTTAAGTGGAGAGGCAACTAACTGCCCCCACAATAAGGAAATTAGCACTGGTATGCCCACAATATTCTGTAGGTACTCTTAAGCTTTATAATAATTATTTTTTTGTGTGTGTGGTGCTGGGAATTGAACCCAGGGCCTTGCACATACTAGGTAAGCCCTCAGCCATTAAGCTTCTTAAAAATGAAAATCATTGAAAGTTACATTTAGAAGAATGATATAAAACTTTAGGATGTAAAAAAGTATCTTTTAATAAGAATAATGAAGTACCCACAATCCCAGCTACTCAAGAGGCTAAGGCAGGGGGATAACTTGGGCCCACCCATTTGAGACCAGCCTGGACAACATATGCAAGACCCTGTAAAGGGATCAAATGGGAAGCACAGACAAAGCTGTCAGAATGGCTGTACTTGAAGCTTATGAGCACCTCCCTAGTTTATAATAAAAATATGAAGACAAAGTAATGAGAGGACATGGCTAGTGTTATCTTGTGAGCAGAGCAAAGCTAGGTAGTTGCTTTGCTGGTGGACAGTTTTTCCCACTTCTTCTGGCTCTGGCAGGACACAGAGCTCTCTCTGTGTGCCCACAGCATCTCTAATGTACCCAGAGGGCCACCCACTCAGTCATGAAAGCTGTCACACACACTGCCCACCTGATGCTGTCTGAGTGCCAGGTGCAGACAACAGCTAACAACTGCATGCTATTCCTGCTCCCAGGAAGCTCCTGGAAGCTCCTAGAAGGTCTGGAGCAAAGGAACATGAAAATCCTGGTATTTGATACCAGCTTCGTCTCTTTATCAAAGGGATGCTCAGAGTGCTGAGGGAAGAAAGCTGCGGCTGCACAGGAGGTAAGATCAATCTAAGTTTGGAAGGAGTTCTCCAAGCAGATTTATTCTATTTTATGGAATGAAATACTCAGTGTTGAGTATTGTAAAGATTTATGCACATGGCTAACTCCATCCTTACAAATGGTACAGGTTCCAAGGGCTGGAGTTGTGGCTCAGCGGTAGAGCACTCACCTAGCATAAGCGAGGCACAGGGTTCAATCCTTAGCACCACTTAAAAATAAATAAAGAAAGGTATTGTGTCCAACTAAAATATTAAACAAACAAAAAACCAAATGGTACAGGTTCCAGTGATTTGGAGGCGGAAGCAGGAGACTCTAAAATTCAAGGCCAGTGTGAGCAATTTAGTGAGATCTGTCTTAAAATTAAAAAGACAAGTGATGTAGCTCAGTGGTAAAGTGCTTTTGGGTTCAGTCCCTAGTATCAAAACAAAGACCCCCAAATGGTAGAGGATTTATTCGTATTTGTTTCTTTTTGTTAGTACTAAGGGACTGAACTTGGCCTCAGGCATGCTAGGCAAGTGCTCTAGCACTATGCTATATTCCAAGCTCTTGTTTTGCAGGTTTAATTTTGGTACGGGGATTGAATCCAGGGGTGCTTAACCACTGAGTCACATCCCTGGCCCTTTTTATTTTGAGATAGGGTCTCACCAAGTTGCTTAGGGCCTTACTAAATCACTGAAGCTGGCTTTGAAATCTCGATCTTCTTGCCTCAGCCTCCCAAGTCGCTGGGATTACTGGTGTGCTCCACTGTACCCAGTTTGTTTGTTTTTGAGCAAGGGTCTTGCTATGTTGCCCATGATGGCCTCAAATTCCTGGATTCGAGTGAGTCTTCTGTCTCAGTCTCCTGAGTAGCTGTGACTACAGTCCACTTCTAGGCCCAGTGACTAATGAATATTCTTAAATAAAAATTATAAGAGGCCATAGTTTTGGACTAGGCTCTTGTATTATGACCTGACAGACCAGACTAAAAACTAAAATGGTCTCACTTATGCTAATGTCCCATATCACCAAACTGAAATAAATTTAATCTGAAATCAGGAGACAGGTAACAGCTTAACTTTCCAAACAGGCCAGTTTCAATGGACACGATAATGAAGTTCCCTCTGCTTTAATTCTTACTCAAAAAAAGGACTAAGCCAGTTCCTAAGTTACCAAAGCTGCCATTCTGGAGATAGAAACTGACTGAGGTGGGAAGGTCTTTTATTGGAGAGTATACACAGGCAGATTATTCTTAGAGGTGCTAATTCTTGCAATCAGACAAAAAGACCCTTTCTTTTCCAATTATGAACTTATAAATAAAATTAGCTTGTCCATCTAAGCCACTGGCTAAAGTACTAGGGGAGGGGCCAAAGGGGTACAGGAAATGGAAGAGTAGGGAAAGAGGAGGGCCCACACTCGGGTTGGTAACTGTTGGAGCCTCTGCTTTTTAAACTTTGAACTCTGAAACCATAAGTGGCAGAGTTCAGTCACTGACAGCACAAGTTTCATTAGTCAATTCAAAGGTTGAGTGGTTTCAAAAGCCCTGGTCTCAGGAGATTAGCTTTCATATTGGGGCAGTGGTTCACTTTAAACACATTTTTTAATTTTCTTTTTTTTTTTGAAGAAAAAAAATATTATGAATTAACTGATACCCAAAATGCTGTCTTGAATCATGATATCATCTAGTCCTGCATCTAGAGCTACATTGTAAAATCTTTTTAGGCATGTATTAGGTTTATGTGAGATTTTTCTTTAAATGTAAACTTCATACACATTGTCAGTTTTTGTCTTAATAAAACTATAGATTTATAAAAAAAAAAAAAAAGGTAACCTGAAGTGAACTACTTGCTTGTCTATTGTTCTATCTTCTTGTTCCCTCCTTACAAGAAAAATAATTTTGAAATGACCCATCTATTCTTTGTTCTTTGTTTCTGCTTTCATTAGCCCTACTTTGTGAATAAAACCAACCTCTTAGTCTAGTTTATGGAATAAAGTATTGCCTGATTCAAGAATCACAAATGAAGTCGATTGGGATCTTTAAACTAACTGTGTTGTAATTTCTTCCTTTGGCAACACATAAATGGAATCCCTTAGGAGACACAGAGAGCCCAGGAGGCAGGGCTAGAACATACCTGCAGGCCTACCTGTGGGGTCCCATCCTCAGCCTGCTCCCCACCTGCATTTTCTTCTTTGCCAGCAGTTACAGCTGCTTCCACAGACCTAAGGGAGAGATCATGTGCAGGTCCTTTATAAAATGGGAAGAGAAAGGACAAGGAAGATGACGACAGGAGGATGCAAGGATTCAGCCACAGATTTCAAAGATTGTTTTGGGGAATCTCGGGGACATAGTTCTGTTGTTCTGATGTGGTTCTGTCATCTTCCAGCAATTTAGATGGCCTAGGCAGAGGGGGTATTTGATTGAGGCTGGTGAAAGTCACTATCAAAAGGAAACACGATGCAGGGCCAAGAGGGCAGACCCTCAAAGTAGAAACAGGAGTTGGCATCCTGACTTTGCCAATGACCAGCTGTGTGTGACTTTGAGTACAACACTGGATCCCAGTTTCCTTTTCTACAAATGGGGATAACACTGCACCTGTGACTACAAAAATAAATAAGACAATATGTGTATACATATCCGAAGTAGTGCCAGCTGAATTCTTTTTTTTTTTTTTTAAAGAGAGAGTGAGAGAGAGAGGGGGACAGAGAGAGAGAGAATTTTTAATATTTATTTTTTAGTTCTCGGCGGACACAACATCTTTGTTGGTATGTGGTGCTAAGGATCGAACCCGGGCCACACGCATGCCAGGCGAGCGCGCTACCGCTTGAGCCACATCCCCAGCCCGCCAGCTGAATTCTTGCAGCACAGAGTCTCTCCCTCTAGCAGAGGGGAGATTGTCAGTAGTCAGGGGTCTTTTTAATATATATATATATATATATTTTTTTTTAGTTGTAGTTGGACACAATACCTTTACTTTGTGTACTTATTTTTATGTGGTGCTGAGAATTGAACCCAGTGCCTCACACTTGCTAGGTGAACATGCTACTGCTGAGCCATAACTCACCCCAGCAGTCAGGGTCTTATGAGAGGCTTTACAGTTGTTGTGTTATGTCTCAAACATTACAAGGGAGGGAATTTTCCTTTTTTTTTTTCTTTTGGGTACAAGGGCTTGAACAAACCCAGGGCCTCACACATACTAAGCAAGCACTCACCACTAGCTATATCCCTAGTCCTTTTAATATTTATTTTTTGAAAAATTTTAATTAAATATTTTTTAGTTTTAGGTGGACACTATATATTTATTTTATTTTTATGTGGTGTTAAGGATCAAACCCAGTGCCTCATACATGCTAGGTGAGCACTCTACCACTGAGCCACAACCCTAGCCCCCTCCTCTAAAAACAAATTTTTTTTATTATTAAATATTTACGCCTCAGTCTCCCAATTTGGGATTATGGGCATGTGCCATAGTGCCATCAGCTCAGGATGTCTTGGAATTCTGAAGATTAGCTTATCTTAAAAAAAAAGTAAATGCTACCCCTGACAAGCTGGGGTCTATTGTTCTTTCAGTTAGCTGTCTACTCTCTAGCTTTTGCTTTGTTTTCTGTGTTCTGCAATTTCATTATGCTGCTGTGCCTAAAGGCAGATTTTTAAAATTTTTTAAACTGGGGATTGAACCCAGGGGCACTTAACCACTGAGCCACATCCCCAGCCCTTTTTTTATATTTTAGTTAGAGATAGGTCTTGCTTAGGGCCTCACTAAGTTGCTGAAGCTGGCTTTGAACTTGAGATCCTCCTGCTGCAGTCTCCCAAGCTTCTGGGATTACAGGTGTGTGTTACCACACCCAGTAGGGCAGATTTTTTAAAAACTTTTATAATTAATCAATTGAGGAGTACTTTATACCAAAATATACTCACTTAGATACATATTTGGATGAGTTTTGATAAAACCATGTTTTTGAAACTACATCCCCAATCAAGGCAGAAATTTTTATCACTCTGAAAAGTGCTCTTGTGCTCCTTTGCAGCAATCTGCATACTATACTCTATTTTGTATCTGGCTTCTTTTACTCAGCAGTTTTGAGATTTGCCCATGTTGTCTTTGGTGCTGAAAAGTATTTGATAGTATGAATATAGCAGAATTGGTTTAGTCATTTATCTACTAATATATCTAGATATCCAGTCTCTCACTAAAATCATACTATCTTGAGTTCAATAAGCATTGTAATAAATCTTGATGTCAGATTATAGAAGTCCTCCGACTTTGTTCTTTTTTTTTTTCTTTTTCAATAATGGGGACTAAACCCAGGAACACTCACTACTGAGCTATATCCTCAGTCCTTTTTCTTTTTTATTTTGAGATAGGGTCTCACCAAGTTGTTGAGGGTCTTGCTAAATTGCTGAGGCTAGCTTTGAACTTGTGACCCTCTTGCCTCACCCTAGAATCACTGGGATTATAGGTATATGCCATGATGTCCAGCTCACTGAATTTTTAATTTTAATGAGATTACTTTTAATTTTTCTTTCCTTTTTTTTTTTTAGAACTGGGGATTGAATCTAGGGGGTTCTTAACCACTATGCCACAGCCCCAGACATTTTTATTTATTTATTTTTCGAGTCAGGTCTCACTAGGTTGCTTAGGGCCTTACAAAGTTGCTGAGGCTGGCTTTGAACTTGTGATCCTCCTGCCCAGCTTGAGATTATAGGCATGCACCACCATACCTGGCTTTAATTTCTATAAACTCTTTTTTGAGTTTTTTTTCAAATATACCTGGCTATTTTCTAAAGTCCCTCATAATCAACCCCCTTTTATTTTGTTAAACATATCAAACATGAAATATTATAAATTCTGGAATCTTTGTGAGTCTGACTTTTCTGACTTGTTTCTGTTGTCTTTAGTCCTTGATGACATGCTTCCTTGAATGTTTAACAATTTTTAAATATGAATACTGGGGTTGGGGATGTAGCTCAATGGTAAAACACATAGCATTCATGAGATCTTGGGTTTGATCCCCAGCAATATACACACACACACACACAAATCAATTTAAAAAATCTGAGCTGGGTACATTGGTGCATGGCTATAATTTCAGCTACTAGGGAGGCTGATGACATGGGAGAATTTTGAGTTTGAGGCCAGTCTAGGCAACATAGTGAGTCCTCATCTCTAAATAAATATCTTGAATATATGCTCCTTGGAACTTCATCTATGGATTTTTTTTTTGGAGGGTGGGTACTGGGGGTTGAACCCAAGGGCACTTTACCACTGAGTTATACCCCTAGTCCTTTTTAATTTTTGAGACAGAATCTCATTAAGTTACTGAGGCTACCCTCAATCTTGTGATCCTCTTGCCTCAGCGTTTTGAGTCACTGGGATTACTGTGTGTACCACCACACCCTACTATCTGTGGGAATTCTTTAAGGTCTATGTTGGTGAGGTGTTGCTCCAGGGGAGCAGACTTCCTGGGACAATTGAAAAACAAATTTTCAGCTTCAGCCTTCTCAAATAGTGAGTATAAAAGCTGAAAAGCCACTGCATGGCTTCCGGTGCTTCCAGAGTTTTAGAGAGATATTCCTCCCTCTTCAGCTAGGGCCAAGGTCAATGAATAAGAGCTTCCCGCTGCAGTGTTGAGTGTATTTGCAGTTCATTTGTGCACTAGGGCAGAAGCCTTTAGGGACTCAAGCTTTATATGGAGGTCTCCTACTAAATTTTTTTCCCTATAAAGCCCAGGCCTTTGGCTTTGTCTTTTGTCTCTGGCACCCCTCCTAGCCCCATAAATGGAGGCTTCAGAGTACCAAACTTTGCACTTCAGGTGCTTTCTCTCTGGGTTTTGGCTTTTACTTCTTTTTTTTTTTTTCTGTTGGTAGAGATCAAACCCAGGGCTTTGTGTGTGCTAAGCAAGGGCTCAACTACTGAGTTCTACCACCAGCCCTAGCTTTTTTTTTTTTTTTTTCCTACTTTTGACCACTTAAGGTTACTTTCTTTTTCTTCTTTTCTTTCTTTGTTTTTTTGGTACCAGGAATTGAACCCAGGGGCACTTAATAAACACTGAGTCACATGTCCAGCCTATTTATCTATCTATCTATCTATATATTTTTTTAGAGAGGGAGAGAGAGAATTTTTTTTTAATATTTATTTTTTTAGTTCTCAGCGGACACAACATCTTTGTTTGTATGTAGTGCATGTATGCCAGGCGAGCACGCTACTGCTTGAGCCACATCCCCAGCCCCTACAATTCTTATTACACATATAGAGCACAATTTTTCATATCTTTGTATAAAGTATGTTCATGCCGATTCATGTCTTTACACATGTACTTGTGGGGTTTTTTTGGCATTACAATTCTTATTACACATATATACCACAATTTTTCGTATATCTGTTTGTATATAAAGTAGGCTAATGGCTCATTAGTTCATCTGAAATATTATAGCTGGCATTTTTAGTTATTTTTAGGGGGAGGATGGCTCAGGGTGTTTAATCAGCCACACTGTAAAACATGGAAATCTAATGATTTCTCCACTGTATACGTCCACCATCCAATCAAGATGAAAACAGAACAAGATAACGTACTCCTTTCAAATCACTGTACCTGAGTGACAGCTCTGAAACCTGTCCCTGTAGCAGATTTAATTTTTGGACATGGCGTCTACAGTCAGCACCAGAACCCTCACCATATACCTGAGAAAGAAAAACATATATTTAGTTTAAAAAGTGTTGCCAGAATGCAAAGAAACAGATATATTTGAGATGTACCTCATGGAAGACCAAACTGTATTATGCAAGGCCCCAAAATGCTTGAAGCAGCATGCAGGAAACCTAATGACTGGCTGCTGTTTCTAGAGTGATTTATAAACAGGCTCTGCAGCCAGTTTAGGTCTAGCTGGCTGCCTCACTAGCACCCTGAACTCTTATCTACCAAAGCAACCCAAAGCCCTATGCAAAATGGTTTATGAATTCCTAGTTCAATGAAGAAGCATATAATGGAATTTTCCCAGACAATGCTCCATCTATTTCACTTAAAAAAAAATCCATAGATGAAGTTCCAAGGAGCATATATTCAAGATATTTATTTAGAGATGTAACACAAATTGCCAAAAATATATAAAATTATGCTTACCCTAATTGATAATTAAAGGAATACAAAATAAAATGACATGCCTTTTCCCACATAGCAGTCACCCATTTGTTCAATAAATATTTACTGAGTACCTATTATGTGGTAGGCCCTGGTCTAAGTGTGGATAATACTATGCAGTAGTGGACAAAACTCACCGTCACCAACGAGCTCTTTCTAGCAAGAGGGGACATAATAAATTAGTAAAACATCTGGCTACAAGTCAATAACAAATGTTCTCAGGAAAATAAGGCAACAAAATAGGGTAGGGCTGAATGGGGGGCAATTCGTGCAAAATTTTATGTTGGGCATTCCATGGTCAAGAAATGAATCACTGAGAAGATGACATCTGAACACAAATAGGAAGACATGTGGGAGCAAGCCATGAAAATATCAGGAAGAACATTCTAGCAAATACAATGAAACAGAAATGAGTGCAGAGACCCAGAGACTGACATGTGGAGTTAAAGTGAGGGGCCAGCTGAGAGGCCTGAGGGGAAGGTGGTAGGTGATGAAATTTTGGAGCATGAACTGGTGAGTTCCACCATAGGTAGAATCAGCTTTACAGGCCTGAGAACTGCTATATTGTTGCCATCTTGAAATTCTTTTCTTTTTGAGACTGAGACTTGCTATGTCACCTAAGCTGGCCTTAAGTTTCTTGGCTCAGTGACCCTCCTGCTTCAGATTCCTAGTCAATGAAGAAGCAAATAATGGCATTTTCCCACACACTGCTCCATCTATTTCACTTCATGGAGGAACAGGAACCTAAGGAGCAGGAGCTCTGTATCTGGTGAACTTAGTGAGAGAGAAGAGGATCCTGGCTGTGGAATGTTGGGGCTCCATGAGAAACATCTTCTGCAGGGCTGGGCCCACCTGCTTTCTGTTTATCAGAACATACCTTCAAAAGGGACTGCTTCTCTCCACAAGCCTTGCATGTCCATTTGAGACTTTTTTTCACCTACATTGAAATTTCAGAAATATAGCTTAGACAATTATATAAAACAGGACAGAATTGGATGAGAAATAACTTAGCTATACCCCCAGCCCTGATGGTGGCATTAAAAAAAAATATTTTCTTAGTTGTAGATGGACACAATAACTTTATTTTATTCATTGATTTTTATGTGATGCTGAGAATTGAACCCAGTGCCTCACATATGCTAGGCAAGTGCTCTACCACTGAGCCACAACCCCAGCCCTGAAGGTGGCATTTTTAAGAGAAAAGAATAAACTATTTAATAAGTGGTTCTGGAAAGACTGGCCATCCATGTAAAACAAAATCAAGTTAGTTTTCTGCCGTCTGGTTTTTTTTTTTTTTTTTTTTTTTTAATTGAACCCAAGGGCACTTAACCACTGAGCCACATCCCAGCTCTTCTTCTTCTTCTTTTTTTTTTTTTTTAATTTTTAAATTTTGAGACAAAGTCTTGCTACATTGCTTAGGGCCTTGCGAAGTTGCTGAGGCTGACTTTGAACTGGCGATCCTCTTGCCTCAGCCTCTTAAATTGCTGGGATGTAATAAATATTTATCTCTGTAATAAAATAAATGTTACATCTGTATCTCTCTATATATCATATCTATATAATTATGTATACATGAACATATTTATATGTACTTTACAACCCACGATGAAAATTATTATATCTTCAAAAGGTAACACAGCCTTTATAAAAGCAAACATCTAAAGACAGTAGAGATAATGGGTGAAAAAAAGACAGTCCATTCAAAATAGCAACAAGAGGGCTGAGGATGAAGCTCAGTGGTAGATTGCTTGTCTAGCATGCACAAGGCCCGTGTTCAATCCCTAGCACCTTAAAAACAAAACAAATTACTATGATTAATATGATTTTAATACAAAGATTCTAAGGACAAACAGCATTTACTAAAAATTTGAGTGGATATATCCTATGACTTGGCTATTTTTTTTTTTTTTTTTTTTGGTACTGGGGATGGAACTATGAGCTATGGCCTTGTATCAGGACTTAGCAATTCTACCTTTCAGGATCTACCTAAAAAACACCACAAAACAAATCCTGTGCATTTTCTATGGGTATATATGCAAGTAAGAAATACAAAAAAGTCTGGGGCTGGGTTTAGTGGCACACAACTGTAATCCCAGTGGCTCTGGAGGCTGTTGTAGGAGGACAGTGAGTTCAAAGCTAGCTTCAGCAACTTAGCAAGGCCATAGCAACTCAATGCGACTCTGTCTCAAAATTAAAAATAAAAAGGGCTGGGGATGTGGCTCGGTAATTAAGCGCCCCTGGATTCAATCCCTAGTACTAAAAAAAAAAAAAAAAAAAAAAAAAGAAAAAGAAAAAGAAAAAGAAAAAAAGAGCCTGGGCCAGGCTTGGTGATACATACTCTCATCCCAGCTACTCAGGAAGCTGGGATGGCAAGTTCAAGGCCAGCCTTGGCAACTTAGCAAGACCTGGGTCTCAAAATAAAACTACAAAAAATAGGGTTGGGGATTTAGTTCAGTGATAGAGCATTTGCTTAATGTGTGAGCCCCTGGGTTTAATCCCCAGTATTTGGGGAATAAAATGTTTAGAAAGACACATATTACTGGTAACTGATTCTGGGAAGCCAGTAAGATAAAAACAGGATCTTTGCAATTGTATAGGTGTGGGTTTGCCATTTATTCGATGGCAAATCCACTTGATTTCTCTGGATTCCAGCATTCTTAGAGGCTGCTGAAATTAAATGAGATGTGTGAAACTGCCCAGCACACAGAAGACTTGTAATTAACAGGTTGACTTCCTCTCCTCAACACTGCCCCACCAAGCATCCTATTGGGGATTGAACCCAGCAGTGTTTTACCACTGAGCTATATCCTCAGGTCTTTTTATTTTGAGATAGGATCCCACTAATTTGCCCAGGCTGGCCTTGAACTTGAGATCCTTCTGCCTCAGTCTCCTGAGTTGCTGGGAGCACATTTGTGCATCACTGCACCCAGATATTCTCATCCCTTTTTGAGACAGGGTTTTGCTAAGTTGCTCAGGCTGGTTTCAAACTTGTGATCCTCCTGCCTCAGCCTACCAAGTTGCTGGGATTACAGGTGTGTGCCACCACAGTCACTCTCCCTCTCTTTCAAATCATTTTTTAAAATTACTTTAAAAATATATATATATATTTATTTTTACTTATAGATAGACACAATGTCTTTATTTTACTTTATGTGGTGCTGAGGATCAAACCCAGTGCCTTACGCATGCTAGGCAAGCGCTCTGCCTCTGAGCCACAACCCCAGCCCATCAAATCATCTTTCATAGAGTTAAAAATGAGCATGGGCATGCATGACAGTATATGTGTAATGACTAAAAAATGCAAATGATTTCCATTTATTCTCAACTCTAAAATACAGTCCCAAAAAAACACCTAAGTTTCTGAGCCCCTACAAAGTTCCATTACATGCAAACTTACAGATGCATATTCAGCATCTTATTGTCTTTAATACATATTTTAAGGAAGTTTGATGCTATTCTTTCTCAAGGAATGGCAGATTAATGGGTAACTGGGAAGAAGAGGAAACCATCAGAGGTAGATACACAGTGTTAGTTGACTTCAAAGTAGAGCACAAACCAGAAAAGATTAAGTTAAATTATATCCTCTGTCTTGTGTGCTCAAAGTCAGGAAAGCAAACAGATTTTAGACATATCGACCATTTAAACCTGGAGGCGTCTGTGGGTATGCTTAAACTGGAGGCAGAGGCAAACTAGTGACACCAGAGGGCGTCCAGGCGTAGACCAAGGTCATTTCAATGGTACTTGTTCACACCAGTGCCATTCCCATGGCTGCATCTTTAGTCTGAGTTCTAAAAACAGTTGTTAGAATAGATCCCCTTTTAAATTAAAAGCAAACTTCCTGATAACTGATTTTCTGTATCCTATACTTCCTTAGTAAAGTACAGATGCAAAGGAAGCCTGATGTATTCTCTAGGTACAGCCTAGCTAAATTTACACATGAACATCACCTGGCTTTTGTAAACCCCCGGTGGACCAGCTGAGAAGTAATCTAGCAGTTTCTACCAGCGGCCTGCGTAAGCCTGCCAGCTGGGATCCAGGCAGGTTCCTTGGGCTTGCCTGCAGCAACACGCTCCCTTTGCAATTAAATTAAGAAAGAGCCACTGCCCTGCATAAAGGATGCTATCTTCAGAGTGGGCATCCCAATTCCCTGCAGGAATTTATGAAAAGCCACCTCAGCAAAAACGATCATTTCTGGTTTCTACAACAATCAGGCATAAAATAAAAACAAAAGCTCAGAACGACGTTATGGGTAAGCGACACCAAATAACACCCAGTGCTCAGCACTGTCACGTCTTCGGGCTCCAAATACACCCGCGGCCGGTCACATCACACCAGCCATCCCCGCGCTGGAGGAGGGGTAAGACGGCGCTTGCCCCACCTGGTGCGCCTGGAAGAGGCGGCAGCTGCAGCATCGCAGAACCCGAGACTGCTGCGACGGCGCCATGACGGCCTCCGTCGCCACTTGCCGCGCGCGTGCGCCCCACGCTCACATCTCGGCTCCGCCCTCTGACCCGGCTCGGCTCCGCCCTCTGACCCGGCTCGGCTCCTCTAGGCACCAGCACCACTTGGTTTGCTCATGCGCCCCGCGCTCCCTTCTTCCCAGGCTCCGCCCCTCTAGGAGGATTTGGCTCCTTTGGGTCCCAGTGCCGCTGATCTTGCTGGTGTGCGTCCCTCAGGCCCGCCCCGGCCCTGCCGCTTCCCCGCCCCCGCGGGCTACTCTCGGGCCTCTTTAGCCTCAGGCTTATCTTGGCGGTTACTTTGTGGTACGTTTGTCTTCCCGGGGACTCAGGCCCCGCTATCCTAGGACTAGCTCAAGAGCAGGCCACCAACCCGCGATTTGATGATTTCCCCTGCCTGCTCTGGTCTTTCTCTCCTTTCCCCTTTCTCTCTCTCTATGTTGACTGAGCCCAGGGACGGCTTGCCACGACTACTTGCCCAGTCATTTTTGTTAAGGTAGCTGGTGCAAATATCCAGACACAGCTCTGAGTCAAGCAAAGGTCTATTGACAAGAGAATATCTGCCGGGCAGCCCTTCTGCAAGGTGCAGCAGCCTGCTGAAAAAAACTTCTTAACTATATACTCCTGTACAATGAAGGAGCCAGAAAATAACCCTTTTGGTCTTGTGATTGTTACTTGGCGCGGTTTCAGTTGTTAGGGACTCTTTGGAGTGGGCTGAACGAGAAGGTCGTGCCTGGTTGCGCTTTTCAAAATGGAGTTACTTTGGCCCAGGACCTAACGCTTTTTACATTTTTATTTTGAGACAGTGTCTGAGTTGCTTGGGACTTGCTAAGTTTCTGAGACTTGCCCTGGAATTATCCGTGTGGGCTAACATACCCAGTCAGTTCTATTCTGTTTCTTCCTGTGCTTGTTGGAAAGTTTGAAGTTTCAAGGACAGGATAACCACTGCTGTCTACCTACATGGGTAGCTCTGCTGCTAAAAGTTGCAGAGAGGGAGTCAGAAAGGGCCTTCCTGTTCCAGCCCATTCCGCTGGTTCTGTGGTCCGAATGTGCGGGACATCTGGGTAGAAGTGTGCAGTCAGTCTTTGAGCCAGAGCGCTATGGGCAGAAGGGCCGGAGGACATAATCCCAGGAAAACAGCTCACCAGCTCCACATGAGAAGGAAGTTGAAAATGAAAAACAGTCCCTCCTGCAGTCCCCAGAGAAAGCTCTATTTGGAAGGTGGAGGAAGGAGTTCAATTTATGTGTCTCAGCCCCACCAGGACCCTAGTGCCAGCTGGCCAAGGCATTCATGCCTGACTTACAACATAAACTATCTTTTCTTGAAAAAAATTTTTTTGTAGTTGTAGATGGACAGAATGCCTTTATTTTATTTGTTTATTTTTATGTGGTGCTAAGGATTCAACCCAGTGCCTCACACATGCTAGGCAAGCACTCTGCCATTGAGCTATAACCCTAGCCCAACAAAAACTATCTTGTTAAAAAAAAAATTATAATACCCAATTCTAACAAAGATGTGGTGAGAAAGGTTCTGCTTTATAAAATGCTGGTAGAGGAGTAAAATAGAAAACAAAACAGAGACCATCAATGATAAGAGTCACAATTACCAAAACCTAAGGAAAAAAAAACCCATGTAACACAGACAGATTTATTATGTACTAGTGATTACTGAAGTCTAACAGGAAAAAAAAAAGGGAATAAATGTTCTGAAGAATAGTTGCTCTCCATAAATGGACCACAATGCAGGTCCATTACAGAGTTTTGAGTTTGAAGTGAAAGTGCACATGCATTATTAGGAAGTAACAGCCAGGTGGCGCTTACCTGTAATCCCAGCAACTCCAGAGGCTGAGGTAGGAGGATCTTGAGTTCAAAGCCATCCTCAGCAATTTAACGAGGCCCTAAGCAACTCAGTAAGAACCTGTCTCTAATAAAATATAAAAAAGGACTGGGGATGTGACTCAGTGGTTAAGAACCCCTGGGTTCAGTCCCTGATACCAAAAAAAAAAAAAAAAAAAATGGGGAAGTGACATCTTTGCTTGGCCAAACTTTGTTCAGGCTTCTGAATACTCTCCTGTGCACTTCTTTGTTTTAATCCAGTTTTAACAAAGAACTCTGCTAAGTCAGTTTAGCAAGAACTGCTTCCTTTCCATCATCAATATCTGATCAGTATCTTCACAATCTGCCCCCCTCCCCGCCATCCCCAAGGTAAGGTCTAATCAAGCTGGCGTGTCTTCAGCAAGAATCCCGTTAGGTCTGTGTAGTCAGAATTCTCCTTATTCACCTGTTTCCTCCTAGTAATTTTCCATCTGTCGGCCTCCGGCTATAAATTCCCATCTGCCCATGGTGAATTGGAAGTTGAGCCCAGTCTCTCTCCCCCATTTCCAGACCCCATTGCAGTGGTCCCTATACCTTCTTCTTCTTTTTTTTTGTACCAGGAATTGAACCCAAGGGTGTTTAATAACTAAGCCACATTCCCAGCCCTTTTTTTATTTTTTTATGTTGAGACATGATCTTGCTAAGTTGTCTAATGCCTTGCTAAATTGCTGAGGCTGGCTTTGAATTTGCGATCCTCTTGCCTCAGCCTCCCAAACTGCTGGGATTACAGGTGTGGGCCTACTGTCACTGTGCTTGGCCTCTGGCCTTACACCTAGTCTGATAGTCTTGAATAAAGTCTTCCTTGCTGTGTTTTGTAAGCACAAAATGATGGGAGTAGACCTCAACAGATTCAGGGAAACCATTTATTGTTCTTCAGGTACTGAATGCGAAAATGGCTATTGTTTACAGAGAGGATTTTGGTTTATAGGGTACAGTTAGGGTGGTTTCAGACAGTCAGGGGCTAGTTATGTAGGTTAAAAGTTTTAACTCAGAAGGGAAGCTGTAAAAGGTTGAAACTCATTGTTACTTGAAGAGATAGGAGTCCAGATTATGAGGGATGGGCATTTATTTTTCTGGAAGTTATTGTCTTCCAGCATTTCAGTATTCGACTCCTTCTGTCGGGTTGCACGCGACTAAAACACTCAGGGTCACTCCAGGGTAACTGAGCTGCGCAAAATAACCACATGAGATAGAAATGCTTTTTTTCCTTGGTGGTGCTGTATGGCTCCTCTGACCTTAAGGGTTTGCAGAAAGAGAGAGAGAGCATGTACTGACCCTTTTTATTGAGGAGAAGCCATTCAAATGAGGCAAGGGGTCAGGTTTCAGGGGGCTGAGTTCAGCTTCATGATGTCTGCTGTCAGCAGGTTGACTGACACTCAAGGGCACAGTAAGAAAGGGGACACACAAAAGGTGTTTCCATGGAACATTCTATCCTAAACAGGGCAAGGGGTAATATTACAAAGGAACAGGTGAGCACAGCTCGACCCATGGGGATACAGGAAGGCGTGCCCATGTATGAAGACACAGTTGCTCACACCTTAGAAGACCAGGGCTCTCCAGATCACAGCATGACTGCCGGATGCCGCACAGGTCAGCAGGGGAGTCGGACATGGTCACATGCTAGTCAGCCTCCCACATCCTTCCTTCAGGGTCCCTGTTATCAGGAAAGAATTTATTGGAAGGATAATAATGCTTGGCTAATTTCCCTTCCCTCCTCCAGAGCAGCATTGTCTCTCTGCTTTTCTTTGGGGGTTGTTTTACAGATTATCATTTTCCATAACTCTTCATTGTTTATCTGCTGTCACTGAATAACTTTTTATTTAATAAAAACAAGGTGGTTACAAAATGTACATAATTTCAGTTATGTAAAATCTGTCATTTATTTATTCCTAGGTGTGTGTGTTTGTGTAGGTGGGTAGGATTATGATTTAAAAAATATTTTCCAAATTTTCCACAATAAGTATATATCAGAAAAAAAATTTTTAAATTGTGTTTCAAAGACTGAGTTGCAAATGGACAATGGCCAGGTATAAAGAGCATCTGCCATAAACATGTTGGGATATGCTGGGACTCACTAAGTTGCTGGCCATAAGGAACAGCAGCCATAGGCAGTCTTAGTCATATCGGGTTGCAGTTGATAAGGAGCTATAAGGGGCACTAACCATAGGCACATTTAACAATAACTGGTTACAATAAATAGGGAGCACAGCTCCATGGACATGCGCAAAGAACATACCCTGTTGCAATTACATCATCTCACTGGACATAACCAATGGACATTGACTTTCACTGGGTGTAACCAATCACCAACGTACACCATCAACTTGGAACTATATTTAAGTCACTTGTTTTGTTACATTAATGAGGCTGCTCCAAGGACATCAGTGAGACTGGCTGTCCATCCCCAGATTGACTCTACCATTCCCTGACGTACATTCATCGGCTGGAGAGAATCACTGGACAATGGCCATGTCTGCTCTTTGGCTAAGAGAAGTTGCCTGGCATCCAAAGTATTTTGGGGCTCCTGGTTGCCCTAGATTGTGTGATTTGCTTGTAGTGTTAATTAGTGTGCATTAAATGCTAGTTGGGGTGCTCCAGCAACCCAACACTTTTTGCATTAATTGTTTATGTTTGATGATTGGTCTGATCAAATATATGCTTGCATTTACTTATTTTTATTTTTTTTAAAGAGAGAGTGAGAGAGGAGAGAGAGAGAGAGAGAGAGAGAGAGAGAGAGAGAGAGAGAGAGAGAGAAATTTTTTTAATATTTATTTTTTAGTTCTCGGCGGACACAACATCTTTGTTGGTATGTGGTGCTGAGGATAGAACCCGGGTCCACGCATGCCAGGCGAGCGCGCTACTGCTTGAGCCACAACCCCAGCCCTATATGCTTGCATTTAAAGACAATCCTCCTCTGAGTAATTATTAACAGCACGGCTCGTGACACAAGGCATTATATAACAACAGAACTATGACCTGAAACCTCTGCAAATAAGCAGACCCCCCAAATCTCAATTGACTGAGACCTTGACTTGGCCAATAATTGCCTGCTTCTCCATTTTTGCATACCCACTGGCTCGCCTCAGAACCAACCAGAAAAAAAAAAAAATATGCTCCCCAGACCAATGACATAAAACATTTTGGGTTTACTGGACAAGGTGGTGAGTGCTTATAATTTTAGTGACTC